GTTGATATATCCCGACGAACAAATCCGTTGGAATTCCGTTGAAAATATACCACGGAAAAACCGTTGGAAATCCGTTGAAATATTCCAACGGATGAAGGCGTTGGAATTCCGTTTGGAATTTGCCACGGAATTCCAACGGACACCGATTTCTAACGACGAAATTCCAACGGATATATCCGTTGGAAATCCGTTGGAAAAGTTGAATTCCAACAGATTTTCGGCTATTTCCAACGGATTTGCCGGTTGGAATTTGGGGTTTTTTTTGTAGTGCTAGGATCACAACCATTCTTCCTCCAACAGTGGATGCTGGCCCGGACAGATTCGAATGGAAGACAGCGACTGACTCCTTCAGTACGCAGTTCTCTCCGACAAAAACTTGGGACGTAATAAGGGATCGTGCACCGAGGGCTCCGTGGTTTCGGCTAGCTCGGTTCAGGTTTGCCGTTTGCTACTCCGAGACTTAGCTTTAACTTATGGCAAATTTTTCTTGGCAGATTACCCACTTTGGATCGTCTTCAAAGATTGGGCATTACCGCAACCGCTACATGTGTTCTTTGCCAGCAAGCTCCAGAATCTCATGACCATCTCTTCTTCGACTGCGAATTCAACAATGCAATCTGGGAGTTCTTTGCATCTGCATGCTATAGCTCTCCTCCATCATCCCTTGAGTGTACAGACTGGTTGCATAACCAACTTGACGATGAACCCTGCACAAGGAGGGAGCTCTCCAAGTTGGTTCTGCACGCTGTAGCATACACAATCTGGCAGGAACGAAACGTGAGGTTATTTCGGAATGAATCCAAAACGATAGCAACTCTCCGACTGGCGGTTGACAAGCTGATAAGGGACATAATTATTTCCAGGGAATCCAAATTGGTGACGACTACGACATTCCTGGAGGATGTCTGGCTCTCTATTACTGATCCAATCCGTCCAATTCTTCGGCGCCGATTGATCCGACATGTTCTTTGTTATTCCACTTTTGTATTCTCTTTGGCAGGAATCCTGTAATGTCGGCTTGTACAGTAACAATTTTTTGACTTTTTAATGCATTCACCATTATCAAAAAAAAAAAACTTAGAGCCACTTAAAGTGCCATTCATTCGCTAATTTCGTCCTTTTTTTCCCTTCATCAGCTTGATGGTAGTCAGGAGCAGCAAAGCTTACCTGTCCGCAGGACCATGACCAGGTTTTTCATCCTCATCGGAGTCTGAATCATAAGTTGCACTCCACTCCAAATGCGAGGTTTTAGGACAATGATTATATGTCTTCACAACTAATCCAGAGAATGTGTAATTGAACTTTTTAAAATATCAATTATCTTTTGCAAATTGTAACGTTTAATCAAAACAGTTTTGTCCTTTTTTCTAGAGTTGACTTAAGCACAGTACGAATATATGTATGTATGTATATGCGTGTGTCTCTCTCTGTGTGTGTATGGTTGTATGTATATATTTTTAAATCATTCATATTTTATATTTGATTTTTAATTTATGTATATGTATAGATATATGTGTATATATATATTATTAAACTATCACTACATTTTGTTCATAAAAAATAGGTTTAAAAAAATAAGTGATACGTTTAATAAAAAATATATAAACATATATATATATGTATATAAGTATTTTTTTAATAATTTATATTTATATTTTATATTTGAATTTTAATTTATCTCGTATTTTTGATCAAATAATTCAAAATTTAACATGTTCAATTTTGCAAGTTTAAAAATTAATAGGCACTTCTACAAGTTTAGGAATTAATATTACTCCAAAATACAAGTTTAGGAATTTTATATATGTATATATGTATATTTTTTAATTATTTATATTTATATTTTATATTTGATTTTTAATTTATGTATGTATATATATATATATATATATATTATTAAAGTATCATTAATTTTTGCTCATTAAAAACAGGTTTTAAAAAATAGGTGATACGTTTAATAAAAAATGTATAAAGATATATATATACGTATGTGTTTATATTTGTATAGGTATGTATGTACGTACATATGTACGTATATATATATATGTATTTTTATATTTATATTTGATTTTTAATTTGTGTATTTGTTGCGTTCGCAAAACGCAGACGCAGCTGTTGCGTTCGAAAAGTTAAACACAGTCTTATATCTATATATTGGGCGGGAAAGTGCTTCTTATAAGCTATATCGCGATTTCACTTTTTTGTTCATGTAACTCAATTTTGATTACCTACGCTGGTAAATGCTCTTCGTTTTACACCAAGTCTAGTTAAAAAAATATATATATAATTCTTGAAAATTCATGAATACGTTGTGCTATGATTTTATGACAAGCTTGTTGAACAGAGCAGGGCATTATTTAAAAAATATTTTTATTTTTCTATTTTAATTTCAACTTATACCATTTTCTATTTGTGATCGTGTGAACCCTGAAACCATAACTACAGTCTGCCAGTCTGGTCATTAGGAGTGGCCGTTTCGGGTTTCGGTTCGGTTATTTCGGGTTCGGTTATTTCGGTTATAAAAAAATCATACCCAAACGGTTATATAGATTTATTCGGTTTCGGTTCGGTTCGGTCCGGTTTTTGCATAATTAAATTATAACCAAACGGTTAAATTTTCGGTTTATTCGGTTCGGTTTTAAATCGGTTCGATTCGGTTATGATATATTTTAAAAAAAAAAAGAATATTAATCCTATACAAACTTAAAATATCTATCCAAATAAATCCATAAAATAATCTATCTATCCATATAAATCTACAAAATGATTAATCCTCCAAAAAAATTACAAAACTTCAATAACTAGGATAAAAGTTAAAAACATTAAATTTTATAGTTTATTAGGTGAAATACATAAGGGTAAAACTGAACTATAAAAATAACACTAATAATAATGAAGGTAAAAGTTAAAACATTAAAAAAATCTAATAACTGTTCGGTTAACTGTTCGGTTAACCGTAGTTATTCGGTTATTAACCGAACCGAACCGAATACGAACGGTTATTTAACTTCCTCAACCGCTTGGTTATTAAGTAAATAACCGCACCGCTCTTATTCGGTTCGGTTCGGTTATTCGGTTAATAACCGAAATGGCCACCCCTACTGGTCATACATTGGTCACAATGATTATAATGTTAAATTTACAATGTTTTTATCAAATGATCAGCGAGTTATGAAATAAATAAATATAATGAGTTAGTGTGATCACTATCAATTTAATCTTACGAACCAATATCAAACTGTAATTTTGATCCCTCGCAACTGAATAATGTTGTATTTTTGATAATGAACTTCTTTAAAAAATTTATCTGTCAAATACAATTATATATAAATTAGTAACTGTCGCATAATTTATTCATCAAAACCCACAAGAAGCAAAACACCAAAACATGAACCGCATTACTAAATTAAAACCCACCAACCCTCTCTTCTCTCTCTCGTTACAAGCTTCTCGGCACAGCATGCGCCTTCAGCGGATTCTTCATCACCACCGTGAACTCCAGCTTCTCCGACAAGTCCACGTCATCGTTCTCCGCAGCTCTCCACTCGAACGCTGCCACAAGATTCGCCACGAAGTACTCGAGATGGAGCAACGCCAGGTTCAATGCCGGGCAGATCCGCCGTCCCGCCCCGAAGGGAATCATCTTTATCCCTCGGCTCCCAGTGATGTCGATGGGATCTCCGCCGTTGACGAACCTCTCCGGCTTGAACGCCATCGGATCCTCCCAGACCTCCGGGTCCCGACCCATGTCCGCAATCATGAAGTTTATCGTGCCGTTCTTTGGAACCGAATAGCCGCCCAGATCGGTCTCGTCTGTCACGCGGTGCGGAAGCGCGAGATGTCCCGGCGGGTGTCTCCTCAGACCCTCTAACACCACCGCTTTCAAGTACGGCATCTTCTGCAGATCGTCTTCCTTGACCTCTCCCCCTGTCTCGCCGGTCACGCTCTTGATCTCTTCGTGCAATCGTTTTTGGACTTCTGGGTATTTCACGAGATTCGCCATGATCCACTGCAGGGCCGTCGCCGTCGAGTCGGTGCCGCCGTTGAGGAACTCCGAGCACAGGGTCACCATCTCGCCCTCGTCGAGCTTCCTCTTCTCGTCTGGGAGCTCGAGGTCGAGGAGGGTGTCGACGTACGACACGACATAGTCTTTGTTGTCGCTGTCGGAGATCCCAGGTCTCGCGTTCTCCTCTACAATCTTCCTCCGGGCACGAATCAGAGGAAGCAGCAGCGCTTCTTGGTCTCTCCGGAGCTGGAGAACTTCCTCCCATCTCTTCCGGAAAAGGAATTTGGTGATTTTGGGGCAAACGTCCAGGATATTGAATCTGCTGACGCTCAGGAGGAGCTTTCTGTGGGCGGATTCGACCTGTTTGATGATTTTCTCGTCGAGTTTGTCACCGAAACACATGAGCACGACAAGAGCGGACATGGCATAGTGGAGATGGTCGACGACGACGACGGGCTCTTGCCCACCGCTCGTGCGGAACCGATCCACGAGGATCTGCAGGACCCACTTGCGCGCGTGGGAGTAAGATCTCAAGCGCGAGGGATGGAGGATCTCGGAGGTCAGATTGCGGCGGAGGATCCGCCACGTGGGGCCGTACGAGGCGGAGCTGATGTTGTGTTGGTTGCTGGAGAAGACCTTTCCCGCCGGAAGAGCCGGAGGCCGGTCGGAGAATACGGCGCCGTTTTGGATGAGGGCTTGGTGTGCGAGAGAGCGGTCGGAGACGAAGATCGCCGGGCGGCTGTTGATTCGGACGGTGACGATGGGGCCGAGGCGGCGGTGGAGGCGGCGGAGGTGGGGCACGAGGCCGGCAAGGCCCTGGGGGGTCCCGACAAAGGGGATGGCGCTGTGGGAGCCCGGCGGGAGGCGGCGGGGGCTGCGGCGGAGACTGAAGACGGCGTGGAGGAAGAGAGAGATGGAGAGAGAGACGGCGATGAAGAACCACATCTCCATGTTTTTTTCTCTTCGCGCTCTGTTTTTGTTTTGAACCGGTGATTGGTTCCTTCTCATATATATATATATATATATATATATACACACACACACGTGTGCTTATGAGTAAGTGAGTAACATATTCCTTTTCGGCCGTGTCACCCAAGCATTGATTAATTCCTCCGAAAATGGAAAATGTTGGGATTTTGAATTCATGGCAATACTAAATCTACTCTGGATAATACTATATACATATGCATTAAATTTTATTTAATTTTGGAAAGATTCCACAAAATCCCCCAATTCATCAAAACGTGGCATACTTCAAATTGTTTCCCCGTTAATACCAATGTTAAATCGACGCCAAATTGTGGTTTTTGACGTATGACGTGATATTTATATAGAAAAATTTTTAAAAAAATTTTAAATTTGTAATTTGGTGTAATATTATTTTTTCAATTTGTATATACATCTATTCCTATACTTGCATTTTTGAACAAAATAATTCTTAAACTTGCATTTTTTGTAATTCCTAAATTTGTATTTTTTAACATATTAATTTCTAAACTTTGTTTTGCTCAATTAGTGGTATATACAATTATGAAACTGTTAAACAAGTTCACCCATGTGTTAAAAAATACAAGTTTGGAAATAAATAAGTGCCTCTACATATTCTTAGATTAATATTATTTTTCAGGTATTTGTTGCTATTTATATTTGTGCCACATCGTGTGACACGTGGAGGACAGGTAAAAAATAGAAAAATCAGCAAATCCAGTTATATAAAATCGATTTAATTGAAATTGGTTAAGACAAAAAGAAAATAAAAATAAAAATCGGGTTCTTCTCATCGGAAACCGCGGACCAGAACCACCGCATGGTTTAAATAAATTGGTTTAAAATTTTGGTATAAGTAAACCGATTTTATATAGTTTGGTTTGCTAACTTGTAACATGTGGCACACATAAAAATGGAGAAAATGGCAAGTTTTTTTTTGTAACGGTGATGTGTATTACACTAACAAAATATACATCCAGTCTCTGACTGTATTACAAAAAATTATGATGGAACCCATAACAAAATGGTCAAAAGAAGAACAAACACAAACAACCGAAACAAACAGTAACAATGTCGGTCGTATATGTCGCGTGAGATAATACCAATCAGCTAGCAAAGAGACGCTATCATCAGAAGGTTCACGTTTGGTAGAGAATAGGATGTTTCGCATCGTGCGATCAACTTTCCAACGAATGAGTTCAATGGATCTTGACTTTCCACGAAAAATACGGTAGTTCCTTTCTCTCCAAATTTCATAGATAGAGACTTGGAGTAGTACCTTGGCAATCTTTCTTCTGTTTCTCGAGGCAGCATGGTCCGGTCTGCTGAGCCACGCCAGAATCCCCACCAAATCGCTTGGTGGGTCTGCCCAACAAACTTCCCCAAAGTGGCGCCAAAGGTGGGAAGCATAGGTGCAGCCGAAGAACAAATGCTGATGGGATTCATCCTCCCCATCGCACAACCTACATGTTGCATCCGACGTGATTCCCCATTGCTGAAGACGGTCTTTCGTCGGCAGTCGGAACAACATAACCTGCCAGTGAAGGAAAGCATGCCTCGGTATGGCCAAGGGGAACCAGACAATGGAACTCCAAGGAGCGATAACATGTACCGTCCTGGTTAAGTTCCACGTCCTTGATGAGGAGAAATAGGGCCTGAAATCTTCTTCTTTGTATTTCCATAACGCACTGTCGGAAGGGCCATCGGGTGAAGGGGGCGGGATGGTGGAGATGTGTGCCAAGACCTGTTGTAGTCTATCTGATCGTACACCTGGGAAAATCCAAGAGTCACCTGCAACTGCTTGGCTAACCGAGGAGGGTAAGGGTATCCGCAAGCTACGGGGACCAGTGAGTCCCACATATCGAAGTAGAGAACCGTAGATTGTCCATGGGTCCTGCCACAATGAAGTTGACAGCCCATTTCCAATCTGAATTCTAAGGAACTTCCTTACTATATCCGTGATTCCTAATAATTTCCTCATATTCCAAGAAAACCGAGTTGATGGAGCTGTGTTCCAATATGTGTTTCCCTTGAACACATTTTCTTTAACCCATGCCACCCACAACGAGCCAGATTTTGAGAACAAAAGCCAGACAAGTTTCAGACGGAAGACCTGATTAAATTCGGCAATTTTCCGCAGTCCCAATCCCCCTTCTTTGCGTGGTCTGCAGCAAGTATCCCAAGAAACCCTATGAGTCGTGCCAGCACCCCATAGAAACCCTGCACATAATCTGTCCACCTGCTTGGTGAAGAACTTTGGCAACATAAAAATCATTCCCCAAGCGTTAACCATACCATATATTACTGTACCAACCAGTTGAAGCCTTCCTGCGTAGGATAAATATCTAGTTGTCCATGAGTTGATTTTCGCTTTTACGCGATCCAATAGCGGCTGGTAGTCAGACTTAGTCAGTCTGACCGGACTTAACGAGACACCTAGGTACCTCACTGGTAAGTATCCTCGTGTAAAGCCAATAACTGCACATAGGGTCGATGCTTCAGTCCCATTTAAACCCCTTAAGAAGATTTCTGTTTTCTCTGTATTTAAATACAATCCGGAGGCTCTACTGAAACTGTACATGTATGCATAGTTGGTTTTGCCTTTGAATGGAATATGGCATTGTCATTTGTTTCACATACTTCAGGACTTATCACTCGTCGGTTAGCAAATGCGTATCACTGTGAAAACCTTTTAGCAGGACAGCTTGAGTGAGAAAAAATAAAAAATCATTCATTTCGTTGGCCAACCAGGGACCGGTTTAGTAAATTGGAGAAAAACGGCTTTATTTATTTTTAAACTGGATTAAATTTCGACCCAAAAAATGTTGATGTGGTAAAAAATCATTTAAAAAATGTGCAAGGAATATTCAGAGCTTGCATAAGTTTTGTGATAAATGCCCAACTGACCGTATCAAAAGCCTTTCTGAGGTCAATCTTCAGCATAGCTCGTTTTGATGTGTTAGGCCGGTTGTATTCGTGAACTAGTTCAGTAGCCAAGAGAACATTTTCCACCATCAATCTTCCCTCCAAAAAAGCCCCTTGGTTTGGCGAGAAAATGGCAAGTTAACGGTGGATATTAATTTGGGAGCAATTTCTGAATTCGGGAATATTTATGTCAAATTTTTAGTTTGGGATTCATCTATGTATGAATTGGGGAATTTCGTTGTGATTTTCCCTTTATTTTTTTTGTTTAAGTTCGGTAATTTATGTCTTGGATTTAATTAGTATTTCGCCATTTTTTTTATTGTCAGATATCGTAGGTAAGATGAAATTGAACGATCATGTTTATTGACCTTTTTTAAAAAAATCACATATATCACTAGTGAAGTTTTATATCAAGATAATAATAAATTGTAAGTATAAGTGTATTCAAAATAAAACTTGGAGTATATATATAAACTGAGATCAAATTTATACTCTCCTAGATTTGTAAAATAATCTATTTTTATTTAAAAAAATTAGTAATAGTATAATCAAATTTTATATAGAGAACGCTAATAAGAATTAAGAAAATTGATACATAGATACTTAACATGATGAGATGATGAGGTGGTTTCACCACAATCCTTTAAACATCTTTATTTATATATATAGATTTGATATTTTTTCTCCATGGATTATTTTAAATTATTCAGTTAACAATGATAAAGATTTACCTTTCTTTTGGTGATTTTCCATGATTAGAAAAATGTTATTTGATTACAAAAGTTGTGAGTTTTTCTAATGACCAAAAATTGCTATGTAAACTTGTGAAATAATATTAGGTTATGAAAAATAAAAAGATTAAAAAAATTATATTAAAGTTTAATAAATAATATTATACCTATTTTCTGTGCGTATGTACTTGTAATGAAAAATGAAAATAATGTGAATGTTATAGTCGGATTTTACTATATTTGATATATTTTAACAAAATTTCATGATATGATACAAAACAATCTAATCAAACCATCTAAATCCAGCCCATGTAATAAAATAGTTCAAATGGGCTACCTGATGACGGCCCATAAATAGCTTTAAATGGGCTAACTCGATTTTCTCTTTGAACACTGTAACACTAACCACACGCGACGCGATATAACAACCACGCGCATATAAAGCGCGTGGATTTCACCGATCCAAAATCATCTCCAATGTCCATCATCACTTCCCATTAGCTCCAATCTTCCCAAACTTCAACCCGAGAGTTTCACTTTCGTCATCCCTCGTGTTCTTGTGTTTCAACAGGGTTCGCTTTCGATTCCTTCACGCTCCAAACCCAACATCCATTTCGTCACTTGACCCAACACGGAGTGAATGTCGTCCATTTCCATATGAGATGGACCTCCAACCATAAATTCATGGAGAACCCCGTTCACCTCGATGGAGCTGCAACCAGGGAACTTCCTTATTCCCAACTCCTTCATTTTCCTTCTCACAGTCGTTACATCTTCCCACCTGTTGGCAGATGCGTATACGCTTGCGAGCAGAGTATGAACACTCGAATCTTTAACTTCCACTCGTTCAAGCCGTCTACCCACCCGCTCGCTCATCTTCAAGTTTCCATAGTTACGGCAAGCGCTAAGCAGAGAACAGTACAATGGAACAACAATGTCACTGCTTTCGATAGGGATCATCTCTAGCAGCAGTTCTGCTTCATCTAACAATCCAGCTCTGCACAGCAGGTCTATCAGGCAGCTATAGTGCTCTGACTTTGGCTGGATCTTGTAGGTTTTGGTCATTGAATCAAAATATCGACGCCCTTCTTCAACCAATCCACCATGATTACAAGCAGTTAGGACCCCGATAAAGGTTATATCGTCTGGTCTGAAACCAGCCTCTTCCATTTGGGAAAAGAAATCAAGTGCTTTGCTCGTCATGCCGTTCACCGCAAGCCCGTAGATAACCGACGTCCAAGAAGCTGTGTCTCTTTCCTTCATTTCATAGAACACTTCAAGAGCTTTTTCTACGCACCCGCATTTTGCATACACGTCCACAAGAGCAGTACCGACCACGCGATCTAGGGTAATACTATTCTCATGTATGTATCCATGGAGCCACTTTCCTTGCTCTAGAGCTCCCGTTTGAGCGCAACCTTTCAAGAGAGTGACTAATATGAAGTTATCGGGCCTAAGTCTCTGGATCTGCATTTTCCTAAACAATTTCAATGCCTCGTCGAATAGATTGAACTGAACATACCCATTGATCATAGCTGTCCAAAGAACGATATCCCTAACCGGGCTTCTCTCAAACAACTCTCTAGCCTCGTCAAGACTGCCATTGCTTGCATACCCCGAAACCATGCTAGTCCAACAGATCACATTTTTGTTTCCCATCTCATCGAAAATTGCCCTGGCTTTATCTACACAACCGCATTTACAGTACATGTCCAACAAGGCATTCCCTATTTTAGTAGTCATCTCAAGTTCAGCGTCAACATATCTGTGAATCTCTTCCCCAACCTCCTGATTCCTTAAGACCGAACACGCCGAAAGAGTGCTCACGACTGTAGCCTCATCAGCCTTCAAGTTGCTCTCCCGTCTCATCCGCCTAAAAACCGCAATCGCATCCTCAAACTTCCGATGCCCGACGTAACTTGAAATCAACACATTCCACGAGACTACATCTCTTTCAGGTATTTCATCGAACACCTTCTTAGCAACCTCCATCTTACCCAGAGCACCATACATTCCCATGACTGAATTGCAGACACAAGCATCAAACCCAGATTTCACCACATACCCGTGAACCTTCTCGCCTTCGACAACCTTTCCCAGACAGCCCATCGCCTTGAAAACAGGCGGGAGCGTGAAATTGTCCGGATTTAAACCTTGTTTCCGCAACTCACTGAACAAAACCAACACTTTCCTGAAATTCTCATCCTTGGCAACCGCTTTGATCATCAGATTGTACATTACAAGGCATGGACTTTGCACAAAACCCAAAACCCTCTCTGCGTAACGGATACTGCCACGAGACGGATCGGTGCAGAAGAGCACGATCTTGGTGAGAGTGTCCATGTTATCCTGGAGTCCGACCCGAAAAATCTTCGCGTGGATTTGCGTGAGATGGGCCATAGACTCGCAGCTCTGTAGAAGATCAACACAATAGTTCTTGCTCAGCCGTATTCTTCCGGCGACGGCCTCGCCAAGACGATACATGTCCGCCGTATCGGATACCGAAGGAATTGACGCAACGTTCTAAAATACTAAAACCAAGAGGGCTCTCACTGGTTCAGCGTTGGGCTCGCAATTAGAGCTTCCGGTCCATATTTTTCAGTACCAAACCGAACCGAACCGGTTCAGCTCTGCAAGACTGCAACCATCTTCTCTTCCACGGGAGAAACGCAGAAGAGGAAGATAGAAGAGAAATGGCGGGACTCCTAGCTTGGGCTGCGGACGTCGTGGGCGGACATGGGAAGGAGGAGGACGGCGAGAAGGATCAGATCCCTCTGGTTTTCAGTGCGGAGCAGAAGAAGTACGCGGAGGAGCTTGACCGGAAAGCCGCCGCTCTCAGCCGTTCGATCCAAGATCTGCGTCTCAGATTGCCGCCTCCGGATATCTCTCAGCGTCTTCCTCACCTCCTCGCTCATTCACTCGCCTCCAACGCCGCTCTTGCTCTTCAGCTCAACTCTCATTCCGCTACTCGCGAACAGGTTTTTCCGATTTGGCTTTCTGTTGATTTCTGGAATTTCTTCTTTCCGGTTTCATTTTATTGTAATTTAGACGAATCTGGATCGTGAATTTGGATCAGTTCTCAATGGATTAGAGTGCGCGATAGGATATAGATTCGACGTGGGAGTAGGGCACAGTTTGGATCAATTGCCGACATCTTTTAGCTGTAATAACTCGTTTTTTTTTCTGGGTTTCCGCAGACCAGATTTGGGTGTCTGAATTGTTTAAAAAAGTTTTCTCTTTGTTGGATCGGCAGAGATGAATGTGTGAATGTGTGTGTGAAATCAATGAATTCCTTTGTTCTTGGTGGATCAATTTAGTTACTGCTACTCATTCATCTCTTCTTGAATCTTTTTTCTTCATGTTTTGTTGTTTCATTCAGGCCCAACTGAGAGAGCAAACGCTGCTGGAAGAAAATAGTGCATACGAGAAGGCAATATCAAACTGTGAGTCAAAAATACAGGAGAAAAGGCAGGAAGCTGATTCTCTTCTTAGAAAATTAAAGGCAAGTTCTTACATGCAGGAAACATGCTTTCATGTGACGATGTGGGTGATGTTTATGATTGAAAACATGCTTATTGGCCTGAACTCCTTCATGAGTGTGTGCTCTTGCTCAGACATACTCTTTGTTGAAACGCGTTTTGTCGTTGTTTATTTCTTGTGCGGAAAAGATTATGTATGATTGTCCTTGCCACTTTCGTTTATCTTGTGGCCTATTATTGGGACTTACCTGACTGTCGTATGTCTGAAGGAGCTGGAAGATGCTGAGGAAAACCTGACAGATGAGCTGGAAGATGCACAAGTTTCGTTAAAAAACACCCAGACCCGAAATTCTGGTGAATCTGTTTATCAATCCGATGCAAATAGCAAAGATGGATCAGATGCAGAAGCGGAGAAGTTTGCTATTCTAGAGAAGTTGGAGAGCAAAAAGAAAGAACTGGTCAGCTTCTGGTTCTCTTTCATCTCTTCGATTATATTGTCTTCCCTGTTATGAAATTATAAGCTTTTATCATTATTCAGAACCTGAATTCCTGTATGTTGTATTCTTCCTGTGTCTCTGATTGTGCTGTAATTTTAGAGTTCAATGGAAGAGCAAGTTCAGTATTTAGAAAAGAAATGGGCAGTTATACAGGAAAGAGCACTGAAGCAGCCTTCTCCTGGTATTTCTTGTCATATAATACTAATTTATTCTTCTCTCCTTTCATCCTGTGCTTTCTCACAACATGTTCTATGGAGGAAAACTTCAATCTAGCTAGTTGCCAGGATGCTTTCTTTTATCCGAATCATCAGCCCAGTAGAGATTTTTTCTTCTTCTCTAGATTGGTGGATGAAGGGGAGCCTTGGCGCACCGGTTAAGGTGTTGCCGTTGTGACCTAGAGGTCACGGGGTCGAGTCCTGGAAGCAGCCTCTTGCAGAAATATCTGCAAGGTAAGGCTTGCCTACAATACACCCTTGTGGTGGGACTCTTCCCCGGACCCTCGCTCAACGGGGACGCTTTCTGCACCGGGCTGCCCTCTAGATTGGTGGATCACCGGGAAATTTATTCATTCATGTCGCATGACAAGTAAAATTTTTCTTTCACAGCACAAAGAGAGAAGACATTGGATAAACAACTTCACAGTCTAATCGAGCAACTGGCTGCAAAGCAGGTCCTTCTGTAGCCAAATCTCCCATACACCATTTCCTTTCAAACCGCTCTCTCTTGACAGAAACTTTGATATGCATTTCAGGCACAAGCAGAAGGGCTAGTCGGTGAAATTCATTCGAAAGAGATGGAGTTAGAGAGACTGAATGGTCTGTGGAGAAGATACGAAAGCTCTAACATTGAGGGGAATAACGCAAGGAACAGATTCGCCAGAACGAATTCAGATAAAGGATCTGTATCAGATCATGAAGTAGATGCTCATTCCTACCTTCCATATTCCTCTGCTCCCAGAAATGACACGCAAACGAGGCTAATGTACCTCAGGTCAGCTTTCGTGATCTACATTTTGGCTTACCGCTCTTTCTTGACAGAAACTTTGATATGCATTTCAGGCACAAGCAGAAGGGCTAGTCGGTGAAATTCATTCGAAAGAGATGGAGTTAGAGAGACTGAATGGTCTGTGGAGAAGATACGAAAGCTCTAACATTGAGGGGAATAACGCAAGGAACAGATTCGCCAGAACGAATTCAGATAAAGGATCTGTATCAGATCATGAAGTAGATGCTCATTCCTACCTTCCATATTCCTCTGCTCCCAGAAATGACACGCAAACGAGGCTAATGTACCTCAGGTCAGCTTTCGTGATCTACATTTTGGCTTTGCACGTCTTAGTCTTCATCAAGATTTCGTTTTGAAAAGAGATTATACACTCTCTGAGTACTCAGAACTGAGTTTATCTTTGTTCTTTTGGTTGCACAAGAAACTACCCGTGTATATACATACATATATATAATTGATAGGAATAAGATCACTGCTGCTTTCTATAGTTCTTTTAAGCTCAAGTACTCAAACCCTAAATTCCTCAAGCTGAATGATGTGAAGACCGTCAGTGGGCGGTCTTGTTTCTTCTGTAAGACCGTGTCCTTGAGCAGTGTCCTTTGCTCCATTGCCCAACCCTCAAAATCATGAGGAGAGAAACCCTGAATCTGAAACAGGCTAAACCCTAGAAGTTTTCGGGTAATCTCTGAGGTTAGATGAAAGCAAGAGGTCTGAGATTAGACATACCCCTAGAAAGAAGACATAACTCAGAGATTGAACTCAGTTGCTGCCTTCCTGTTTGTGGAAGATAGGCAGTTTCTGACTTTCTATGAATCATTTAACTGACGGCAAATCACGGAACTCTAAACATTTGTATTTAAAACTCGATTTATAATATTTCTGTCTTCTACTGTTGGTTCTTTAACGTGTGGAGCAAGAAATCGTTCCAAGAATCAATAGGACCAGGCAGACACCAGTGAACGCAATCGTTGTACAAGATGACATTGTCTTCTGGTCGATGTCCGTACCTACTCGGATGCCCATCTCCTCTTAACAGCATCGCTTTCGTCACATCCACCAACCGAAATCTCACCCCTTTCCTCCTCCCTTCTCTTCTCGCTATCCGAAATTCTTCCAGTTGAATCTCATGAGCCTCTAAATTCATGCCTTTCAACTCTGTCTCATTGCTCCTATAACGCCAAAATATATGATCATATCGACCGTTCGTAACATTTTTTTTGTGAACCCAGAAAAAAAAATGGTACGATATTGTCGAATGTACCTGTCGGGATGTGTTCTCAGACAGTTTCCGCCTTTGTTCCACTCGCCGTTCTCGAAATGAGAAGGAGCGAACGTCCGTAGAAAGACCTCACCTTTGAAGTGTTTGGCTCCGAGAATAGCTCTAAACGTGGTTCTAAACGCTCTTCTAAACGCGAAAAACGCTCCCACGTTTCGGACGCCGGGCATGTAGCAGTAGAGACACCCTACGAGTTTCCCTTTGTCGAAGAAGAAGAGCGGCCGGAAAAACCATTGGCCGGAGGAGACGATGACGTAATCAAACCCTCCGATCTGGGATGCCCAGATCGGATCCGGTTCGTCTAGGTGGAGGTTGTAGTAGTTGGTCATGTATTGTCCTGTCGGACCGGTTTCAGTTGACCGGACCAAATGCGTTGACCAGAACGAAGCGATCGTGAAGTTGAAGCTCTTATACTTCCACCTCGGGAAGTTAAAGTCTTGCACCAATGAGACATCTTCTGGATATTCCACCTGAGAAAACATAATGAAAGTCTCAAACTTTATGAATTCTTGAGTTTTCAGACATATATATATACACATATATACATACATACACGAGAGAGGAGACAGATCAAGGACTGCATGTGGTTTCGGCTAACGGAGTCACCGATAAACGCCATGGATTTCCCTCTCATGATCTCGAGAAACTCAAGGGGATCGAACAGGGGAAGGTCGCAGCCGTACGGTTTCCATCTCCATTTCATGAAGCCGGAATCGGGTCGTCCGAACTTCATGCAGTTTTGGTGTTCGTGGATCGCCCAGCATGTCGTGTTGGTGTAGTAAGGGGCTTCATGGTTTGGCACCCATTCCCCCGAGGATATGTCACAATCTCTTCTCCTTCTCCCTGCATGCTTTTCTCTCGACGTTTCTTGATGTGGAGAATGATGATCATTTGATGATGATGATGGGATGGAATCATGACTACGCAGAGAAGATTGATTGGAGTTGGGATTATTGATGCCATCATGATGTAAAGATGAATTGTTCGTATGGTTATAGGTAGAGATAGATGATGAATTCGATGGTGGATATGGAGGATTAGACACTACAGATGATGATGATGATGATGATGATGATGCTGCTGCTGATGATGATGATGATGACTTCAAGAAATGGTTGTATAGGGATGATGAGGACGACGGCGACGATGAAGAAGGAGAAGAAGAAGAAGAGGTGAAGGAATAATAGAAAGGAAAACCAAGAAAGAGATAGAGGAGGGTAAGGAGAAACAATGGGAATATTACTAATCCTATTCCTAACTTTATCTTCTTCTTTGGCTTTGTCACGGCGACTTCCATTTCCAATCCAAAAAAAAAAAAACAAAGAGACCAAAAGAACAGAAATAAAATATTTTTTCTTTTTTTTTTTTAAAAAAAATATTGCATATGAGTGGAAAAGAGAGATTTAGGGAGAGATTTAATTTAATACCGTTGGATAAGCATGAAATATGGTGCAAGTAAATGGGTTTGTGCTAAAATAAACACACCTGCTTTACTATATAATATAGTATCAAAAACATTAATTATTAAAATACATCCAATCAAAATTTTAATTATTCATACATGCGAATACATCTTTATATTTTTTTTATAAATATGAATAAACCTTTGTAAATTTCAAAATATTTTAATAATAACTCAGTATGATCAATATATTTTAAATTGAGTCGATCATATATATAGATATTTTTATAAATTAGGTGATTTATTTGTATTTATAAATAAAGTTTTAAATATAAATGGTTTATAATTAAACTACGTAAGTAAGATTATCCAGTAAATATATAATCAAACAACATTAAGCCTAAAAAATGCCAATATAAGACTCTCGACGACGTCGTTTCAGTGTCGAAGCTCTTGGTAGTTGGTGTACATCTGGAAAACCATTATACGCGTTTTGAGTTTTCGATTTGAGATCTCCTTGCCTCTTCGATTCTCTGTTCCTTCTTCTTCTTCTTCAATCTATCGACTCCTTTTTCTTCGGAACTTGATGTCGGAGTTCTGATTTCTCCCAAAATCCCCGGATAAAGTTCTTGGATTTTGGGTCGTTTTGATTCGTTGGAAAAATACTGATTTCGGTGAGACCCTTTGATCTCTGACCAAATGTGTTTGGTGGGTTTTGATTTTCCCCGACAAATTTTGCTGCTTTCTTGGATTCTTTTGATGTTTAATAGGTTGCGCTGTTCACCATTAGCATGTTCAATTGCTCGGATATTACTTGTACGCTGCACATTTTTCTGCTACCGAGTGCTTTTTGGTGGTCATGTATCATCGTGGATCAAAATCTATTTACTAGCTCCAGATAATTTCCAATGCAAGCTTCATCAATGTGCTTAGATCGTTTCTGTTTGTTTGAATGTCACGATTGGGACATTGCCCGTAGAACTCAGTCACATGTCATTGTTTCAATTCGCCTGCTGTTGCGGGGTTTCTAATCTAGATTTTCTGAATCAGGATAAAGTTTAAGATATCAAATCCAGAGATTTGGATTCTACTCTTGTAAGCAATCGGGTATTGATTTCTCAGATTCGTCTCAGGTGCCTGTGAGAGAGTGACATTGGTCGCATGATCACAATGTTGAGAAGACGGAGATTGTGAACCTTGGCTTGACCAATGCTAGATAGAGACTATTCAGGATAGTGGAATGGAAAGAAAAAGAACAGATGACGGCGAACCAGGACCGGTCCCTACGCATGTACCGGTGGATAGATTCGGATTTCTGAAACAGGAACACGGCAGTTCACCAAAGACTAGATCGTCCACTGAATATGAGAGGTATGTCCCTTAGAAAATGTGAAATTTTACAGTCCAAGTTTAACCCGAGTCTGATAAAAATTCAGTATGTGATCTGGTGGTGGCTATAAATGTTAAAATTCTAAGGGAAGAGAGAAGGGTGAGAAAATGGAGGAAGATGATCGGTGTTGGGGGTAGTGACTGGAAGCATTATGTCAGGAGAAAACCCCATGTCGTCAAAAGGCGTATACGGAAGGGAATCCCCGATTGCTTAAGGGGTCTTGTTTGGCAGTTGATCTCTGGAAGTCGGGACCTTTTACTTATAAATCCTGGCGTCTATGAGGTAATTCCTCGAATAGGATACCCTTTATATCCTATTCTTAACTTCATGTCTGAAAACTTGCTACTTACATCATCTTCTGATCTTACCGACATGTATGAACCGTTAAAGTAATGTAGTTCAGTTGGTTAGAGCACAGCCCCATAAAAAAAAGGTTTCTTTTCTCCCAATTCACGGTAGAATCAGATCAGTATCCTAAAAATTTGCATGGAAGTGCATCACTTGTCTCTCTTTTTGCTGATAAATCTTACTAAGTTCATCGCAGCAACTGGTGATCTATGAGACGTCGGCATCTGAACTTGATATCATTAGGGACATCTCCCGTACCTTCCCATCACATGTTTTCTTCCAGAAGAGGCATGGACCTGGACAAAGATCGCTTTACAATGTCCTAAAGGCGTACTCTGTCTACGACAGAGATGTTGGATATGTGCAAGTCAGTCTCATGATTTCCCCGTGTTCTTATTTTCCACAATGAGGTGTTAAAAGCAGTGGTTCTTCTAATGCAGGGGATGGGTTTCCTAGCTGGTCTTCTGCTTCTCTATATGAGCGAAGAAGATGCGTTCTGGTTAGTAGTCGCATTACTCAAAGGAGCTGTTCATGCCCCCATGGAAGGTTTGTATCAGGTGAGTCCTTCAACTCGCAATGGCATTTTCTTCGTTCATCGATCGAAAAGATGTTCAGAAACTGACTAAAAGGCAATCTAGAGCATGATTCTTTTCTTCATGAATTAGTTAGTTCTTCAGCCTCTTTGTTATGGGGTCTTTTTCTCCATTTATTCTGATTCGACACCCATCATAAAGGAGCTATTCCATTATCTCTCAACGCATCTTTATCCCGAATCAACAAAGTAATTTCTTTAACAAGAAGGAAAAATCTACATTCCTTTGATTGATAGATTGGAAAGATAAAACAGAAATGTCTCTTCTCGCTGAAACTATGGTAGTTCGGGAAATCGTTAGCCTGAATTTAACAGCTAAACTGAATATATCAGAAACAATATATATAGATAGATTGTAGCTAATGATTTACAAATCCTTGAATGTATATTGATGTAGGCCGGGCTTCCCCTTGTACAACAATACCTGTCTCAGTTTGAACTCTTGGTTAAGGAGCAAATGCCAAAGCTTGGAGAACATTTCACTCAAGAAATGATAAACCCTAGCATGTACGCCAGTCAGTGGTTCATCACTGTTTTCTCGTATTCTTTTCCATTCCCTTTGGCCCTCCGAATATGGGACGTGTTCCTCTACGAGGTAACAATAATAATCGTATGCATTTCGAGTGAAGTCCCTTTGTTGTCAAAATCTCGTTCTTTTCATTCTTGGTTTTGTTTCAGGGCGTAAAAATCGTTTTCAAGGTGGGATTAGCATTGTTGAAGTATTGCCATGACGACCTGGTGAAATTACCGTTCGAGAAGCTCATACATGCTCTCAGAAATTTCCCGGAAGATGCAATGGATCCAGATACCTTGCTTCCATTGGCTTACTCCATCAAGGTTCTCTCCTTCTCTGTCTTTAAACTACGAAAGCTACCTTTGATTTGGTCGATATCCCTCGTTGATGGAGACCTTAATTTGATCAGATTTATAACCCGAACCGAGAAACTAAGACGCACATAGGACGAATCCTTAGGTGAACCGTAGCCATCAAACAAAGCTTAGCACTTCATTCTCTGCTGGTGGAAGAACAGGATTCGTTTCACAAGATTGAAATTAAAATCTTGGAATTTTTGAGATTTCTCCCAAACTGCCTCTCTGATCTTTGATCATGTCATTTAGGTATCAAAGCGTTTAGAAGAACTCAAGCATGAAGACGAGAAGAACAATGGAAAACCGGCTCAGCCGGCTAAACCACAGTAACCGAGAGAGCCTAAACCGGAACCGATTCAATGCCGACTCTGATGCTGCTGGATAACTTTTTTGTTTAGTAAGTTATTTTTTTGTTTTCATCATTTTCTGATAGAAAGCGTCTCATACCGAATGGAGGGAGGAGGATGTCAACAAGTCGGTCCAATTTCCCAAACAGAGATGCTCTTTGATTCTTTTGCATGAGATGCTAAATGTGTGTACAGCATGTTATCAATCGCTTCCTTCAACATGAAAATAATCTCCCCTCTTCCGTATGCATACCTTATTTTTCCCATGCAATCTATATATTGTATGATGGGTTTTACCATAATGTTTGTGTAGAAGTTCTCCGCAATTTGACCGGCGGCGACGCGAGGCGAGGCGTTGGGGGCACGGTGGGCCCAGAAAAAAGAAATAGATTCGGTGGGCCCTCAATCGCTTCCTTCAACATGAAAATAATCTCCCCTCTTCCGTATGCATACCTTATTTTTCCCATGCAATCTATATATTGTATGATGGGTTTTACCATAATGTTTGTGTAGAAGTTCTCCGCAATTTGACCGGCGGCGACGCGAGGCGAGGCGTTGGGGGCACGGTGGGCCCAGAAAAAAGAAATAGATTCGGTGGGCCCCACAGGACATGACAGCTCACCTTCTACCGTCTTGTCTTCTCTCGGGGACTTTTTAACCCCCCCCCCCCCACCAAAACCCC